TTGTCCTTTAATTGGAAAAACTCCCCTGCGCCCCTCGGGCGCGGAAAAAGGAGGTGTGACAATTATATTAATTAAAAAATATATATGAATATATTCATGGCATATAGCGAGACAGTGAATACAATGAAATACATAGAATACATTGAAATACAATGAGAAAAAAAGACAGTGAATACAATGAAATACATGGAATACAACGAGATACATTAAATTACAATGAAAACAAAAGACAATGAATACAATGAAATACATGAAAATACAACGTGATACGTTGAAATACATTGAAATATATTAATAGAAAATCAAGTTGCTCAGCCCCAAAATCCGTCATCTTTGTTCAAGAACAAACCCTAATTTGCGGCGAATCCGCTGTCGAGCAAAAACCCATCGTAGCTTTTGTAAGCCCTTAGCTTTGATTCGTGTATTTTTAGAGGATGACAGAAAATATAATCATAGGATGAAGAAGGCAGTACCATCGTAGCTTTTGTAAGCCCTTAGATTTGATTCGATTCGCAATTGCCTTTGGGATTAAGAAATCGTTTTCCCCCATTTTTGAGTTTGGGAATTGAGAAAACCAAGTTCAAATCTGACGGAAAATCTAGGAGATGAAAGGAGACAGAGAGAGAGAGAGTCGTACAACTGGATTTCGCCGGAGAGGAGGAGGTTCCCAAATCCCAGCCAAGAGAAGTGGTGGTCGGTCAATGAATCCGGTATTATTTGGAAGAGAGAATGACATGTATCAAATTAGAGAGAGAAAGAAATAGTGTAACTGAATAGCGTATTTAGTGGCTTAGGGGTAGGAGGTACCAAAATTAAATATTTTGCTATAAACAGTAAAAGGTATCTATAGAATATAATTTTTTTAAATGGTATTTATTTAAAATAAATAAGGTGTTAACCTTTGCTATAGGAGGTAAAAATTCCTACTAAAAATGTATCCCTTCTACATATTAAATAAAGAGAAATTTTTATAAAGCACTACAATTTAGAACCTAATTATCATACGTAACTCTAGTTTGCCTAATTATCATTTATAGTTATTGTTCAAATATTACCAGTTTGTATCACTTATATTCAAACGCGAAATGAATACAATCTATGTCACATGTATTCGTTCGCGCAAGGAATACAACATGTATCAACTGTATTCGTTTACTGGATGAATACAATATGTATTGACCATATTCGTTCGCGCAACGAATACAACAAAGGCGAAGTACAAGGGTATATATAAAGGATACAACATGTATCGACTATATTCGTTCGCGCAACGAATACAACCAAGGGGAAATACAGAAGTACAGAAAAATAAAATATTCTTATTGAGAGTCAAACGCAAGACCTCTACTTACCAAGTAGGTGCTCTAACCAACTGAGTAAGCTCTCTTGTTTCACTCAGTGTTTTAAAAGACGTGGGCGTAAGGAGAATATTCGTTGTTTTCGGAGATGTTAACAAACTAGCAAACAAGATAAAGAATTGGGAAAGACCATAAATTAGGGCTTTAATCAATAAAAAGGTCTTTGCTTTTAAATTTGATACATTTCAGTTCCTTATTAAAACTTTTGAATAATTACAAGCTGACTTTTGAGAATTTGGGTATTATATGAAGGACTTATTCCACAAATTTTGTTTTAACTTGAAAGAGTCTCTGGGACTTATGCTTCACTACAAAAATGCGCCTCAAATGCCCGAGCATAAGCCTCCAACGCCCGGGCATACGCCCCGAATTGCTGGGTGTACGCCTCTTGGGACTTTCGCCTCACACCATCACCTCGGGGCTTTTTTGGTGCGCCTCGCCTCGGGGCTTGCCTCGAAAACGCCTTTTAAAACACTGATTTCAGTTCAAAACAATTGATCTCTTGTTTCAGTACTATATTTGAATTTTGTCTACGAATGGTAATTTTGTTTGAAAGTGTAACTACAAATGGCAAATACAATGTATATGTTTGATGTGTCACGTAAATTTTCCTTAAATAAAACTTGTGTTTTTTTTCTTTCTTTTAGGACTCAAAAATCCCGTTTAGTTTAAAGCACTACTTTCCTAATTAAGGAAATAAATTGTACAAATAAGTAAACTCAACTTTTATCTTCAACATTCAGAAGCTTCACAAAGCCAGCTTCAAATGATGTATGCTTGAAAGAATAAATGTTCTTTTGTAGTCCACATCTACACATGAAAATGATAGGATAAATTAATCACAAATCCTCTAAACTGACGACTCATTTTTTTTTGCTTTTAAAGAAACTGAATTCTTATTTCAGTATATAGTGGAATTACGAACAAAGATCCATACATATGAATATTGCCAATTACATTTTACAAACATCTATTGGAAACAGCCTCTCTATTTTCAGAAGGTAGGAGTAAGGTCTGCATACATACTACCCTACTCAGACCCTACTATGTGGGATTATACTGGGTATGTTATTTTTGTAGAGATGGAAAAATTACCAAAATCCGTAGTTAGGCTATAGTCCGTACCAATCTTTCATATATAGCAAACACATTTCATATGCAGTTTATGGTTGCCTAAGAACAGATAACTATCTGACCAGAAATGAAGAAAAAGGGAAAATTGAACCGGTACTTTACTTGTTGATCAGTACAGCAGTAGCAGGATAGAATTTGGCAGTTGCCACGGGTCAGTTTTCAGGACACTAGTTCTGAATCTCGAGCTTCTGTTGTCATCACAAAGCTTGGAAACATTTGAGTAATTTCCCTGGAATGTAAAAACCCAAGTTCATCTTCTAAGGCTAATAAAAGGGCAGCTCGGTGCACTAAGCTCCCGCTATGCGCGGGGTCTGGGGAAGGTCCGGACCACAAGGGTCTATTGTACGCAGCCTAACCCTGCATTTCTGCAAGAGTTTGTTTCCACGGCTCGAACCCGTGACGTCCTGGTCACATGGCAGCAACTTTACCAGATACGCCAAAGTTTCCTTTCTAGTTAAAATGTCCCATAGTGCAGATTTAGAATTTTCAACTCACTTTAAGCATGGTAGAGTCATGTTCTTAATGAGAGAAGGATATCTTATGACCAATTCCTTCCATTCTTCTGGATCAATCCTTCCATCTCGATTCGTGTCTGCCTCTAGAAATGTCTGTTTATTATCACACGGATCAGACATCAAAAGGATGTATTATAGGATGACTAACATGGGAATAAAGTGACTCTTCTCCACCTTATCAATGATTGCTTCGATAGCATCATCTGGAAGTGTCAATTCTGATTCTTTCAGAATAGCAAATACCATTTCCTTCAGCTACACAAGTTTCCACAGTAGAACAAACTAGTCAAAAGAGAGATTGAGCATCTTGAATTTGAGATACACCGACTGTGTAAACAATAATGTATTTAACCATTTATGTGGTGAAGTGTGTACTGTCAAGCTATTTTGTGCGGACTTTCCAAAGTACAGCCGCACTCGTGTCGGATCCTCCAAAAATTCTGACACGCGCCCAGCGACATTTTCGGAGAGTCCGAGCAACATAGCTGTCAAGTAGTTTGAGTCTTTCCTACTTCCTATTTCAAGAAAGGCTGTCATTCATATCATATGTGAAAACATCAGGATATGATCATCCTCCCAAAAAAGAAAACTTTTCATCCTTGAACTCCTTTTAACATATTTTTTCAACTTCTGTTGTCTTATTCTGAAACATTTAATGAAGATTAAGCAAGAAAATCATGGTTATGACCATTTAAAATGCCTGATGCCTGTATCCTGATAGGGATCATAAATAAGTAGTGTTCTCTGTTGAACACTCAAGTTATGTTTCCGGTAAGATCAAGCAGCAGTAGCTTTAACTAGTTCAAATTCTTTTAGCCTATACGGTGAACATTTCGTTAGCAGTATGTTTAGTTAGCATTATGTTTCTTTTAGCCTAGTTCAAATGTTGACTAATATCAGATGATTATTTGGGGTTATTCCAAATTCAAATTTAAATGCTGCATGCATTGTAAATGATAATATTGAGAGAGTGGTATGATAATTGAGACAACTCAACAAGTATGTTTCGTTAAAGTTACTCACCTCTTCACGTTCTATGTATCCAGTGTGGTTCAGGTCATACAACTTAAATGCAACTGGAACAAAATTATTCGTGAAGTTAGTGTCAGCTATAGGAGAAAACATGTTTGACATGTTGCTGTATAAGTATAAGAAAGTATGCCTCACTAAAAAGAATATAAAAAAACAAGACAAAGAGAAGAAATGAAATTCCAGACATATTTTTATAAGAGAAATTTCAAACATATCTCTTACATTCAATTTTGTCTGCTTGAGGAGCCCTTGGGTGGAATATGCTTAACGACCGAACAAATTCTCCAAATTCAATAACCCCATTACGCTTAAGATCAAACAAATCAAACAGCTGCAATAGAGTGACAAGAAGGAATAGGATCTTGTTTGGAGAATAAAGATCAAGATGCTGGACAATCATACAACATGAAATAGAGAACTTTTAACAGTTTCAAGAATGGCCTATTGATATAGCAGTTACCGGAACAGTTGATGCAGTTATGACTTATGACCATCAAAATTATCCATCATTATATTTGCAACTAGTGGCGGAAGCAGGATTTTCACCAAGGAGATTCAAAAAATAAAAAAGTAAATGCGCGAAGAAGCTAATGAGATTCAACATCTAATATATATACGTGAAAAAAATATTAACCTTATATACACAGTGTAATTTTTGGCGAAGGGGGTTCGGCCCCCCTTTTGCCCACCTAGCTACGCCCCTGTTTGCAAGTCATTTATAACATAAATGTTTTTCCAAAGAGTCGAATCACATTAATAACTGGCGAAGAAATGTCTAATGAATTCCGTCAAAAAGGGTGAAAGACGTACTCGCTGAGCAAAAAGATTCTGCTTAGGGCTGCAGTTGAAAAGAGCAAGGAGAAACTCTTCCTGCATTGAAGATATAGACATAAATCACAATCTCATAACACGATGTTTGAAAATCATTGGAAGACATGTAAAATGCATCACTTGCTTCATTAAACTAGATCTTTGAAAAACGAATGGAAGTTTAAATTTTAGCACAATGTTTGCCAAAGATAATGTACTTTCAAAGTGGTTATGACATTGCCTACACCAGGCATTAAAGGATCTTTTTGTCATGAAGAAGAAGTAGGAAGGGAAACAAAGAACTTTTGGAAAATAAATCCTAAACTGGTCTTCTATAGATCGTAAACTTTTGGAATATTTCTACAACACAATAGAGTGAGACTAGCCAGTTAGGAGTTAGACTAAGAATGTCATTGCTCGTCTATTGATGCAGGGCTTTACCTGCTAGTTTTTACTATACCAGCCATCTATTTCGTATTTCGTATTTTGTATTTCATATCTCCTATATTGTTGTTATTTTATTATGCATTTTTATGGTACTAATATATCGTCTCCTGTTGCTTTTTTGAGCCGAGGGTCTCCTGGAAACAGCCTCTCTACCCTTCGGGGTGGGGGTAAGGTTTGCGTACATATTACCCTCCCCAGACCCCACTTGTGGGATTATACTGGGTTGTTGTTGTTGTTGTTGTTGTTGGTCTTCTAAACTTCATACCCATAGAATCAATGATCACCAAGTTTCAGCGTTTCTTTGTATCGGTGCACTGTTCTAACTGCGAAGTAATTCACGATTCTTTCTTTCACTGTTATATTTGTAACAAAAAATGAAGAAACTCATAAATGAAAACAGATGCATCTTGGAAACTTGGTTTAACGTGTTGTGGTCAATATACAAAGACTGATTCCAATGGAGAAAGTCCTACTGTTCTTGAGACTAGTAGAGGAATCATGGCGCGTTTCCAACAGCTCTGCCCTTAACATCTCAAATTACATAAAAGCCTAATGATTGAACTTTGCATGATGAAATTACCTTATGAATAAGACCATCATCAATTATGGAGCTGCTCAGTTTCTCGTACAGAATTTTCAACGCATCCACTTCATTAACAGAAACTGCAACAAATGAATGGAACACTCTAAGATTATGGATTGAGTAGATACTTAACATCATAACAAATTTCCATTGGACACGCTACTCTGCTAGAAGTAATCAAGAAAACAGCAATAGCTTCCATGGCTAGGAAATATATAGTACCAATTATTTAGAGGAAAGATTTCAATTTGCTGAAGGCTAAGCAAACATAAAATAAAATCACAAGACACAGTAATGATAGTGATTACAAACTTCTTCTGATTGAATGTCTAAAACTATCCAATTTGTTATAAATTTTAGAAAATACTACACTTTACAAAAACAAGCTCAAGGCAAAGAAAGAAACAAGAAATTAAATAAGAGCCTCAAAAACCCTGTTGCCTAAATAGTAGGAGCGAAGAGACATTGTTTAACTCACAGGAAGTCTCAGAAGCTAATAAGTCATGGTCCTCGAAACCAGGTGGACGTCTAAATTTCATTGAACAAAACCAGCTCTTTAAAGCATACATTATCCCCCAGAGGACTTAAAGATCCTGAAATATATATATATTCACCTGCCACAATCCAACATAAAAATCATAGCAATGCATTCTACAACATAGAGTATTAGATAAAATAATCAGAACACCAGTCCAAGAAAAGGGCACTGATGATATTGTGTGCAAGTTTTATCTCCTTTTGAATACTAGGTGCAGTTTCAGGCATAGCCAGATTATACATAGTTCGAATTAACCACTTTGCTTTTGTTGACAAAAAACTTACCTATTTGCTTTTCAGGGAATCATAGTCAACACTAGCTTTTTAGTGTCCTTTTTCTATATCATACGGTATTCAGGTTCGACTAATTCAGATTTGCACCGTATAGGTCATTAAAAGGCAAAGCGCTCCTACCAAGGGTTTTTCAGATCCCAAAGCTCAAACCTGACTCGAATAAAGAGTGGAAAGATCTCATTCATCCCACCATTACCCTTGGTTGCAGCCTGTAGGTAGGAGCAGATTTATAGACATATGAGTCACGTAAAATCATGGTCTCTACGCCAAATTATGTATTTTATGTACATATTTTTTTAAATTAATCTAATATTATTAGTTGGCACTCATACTTCAAAAAGGCTAAATGGTGCACCTAGTTGAATGTTGAGTTACTTACCTAGAGGAGCAAGGATCAATTGTCACTTAATACTTTTTTTTATCCTTTCTTTAGTGGTGCACCCATATTATAAAAAATTTACATCCGCCTTTGGTGGCAGGTTTTTCATTGCAGCATCAGACAGTACTATCCCAAATAAGCAATAGCATACTGTTCTTAAAAGCAACTAACAGATTTTTCAATAATTCTAACTGTTTCAATAGTGCTTGTTACCCAGATTGCTGCTACTGAACATTAATCAGAAAATGTCAAAACTAATTTTAATTAAAGCATATGTCAACGTAAAAAGGTAGCAAAAATACAGTAAATCCCAAAAATCTTGTGAAGCGCATAATTAATCTAGAACATTGAGAGAGAGAGAGAGAGAGAGAACTTACCTCTGTGCTATGGAGTCAGTTGTTGTGTAGCAGAGTCAATTAAATCCTGTAAGATCTTGTCCAAATTTCTTTCTTTATGATATGTACTCATTTTTGTTTCTTTGATTTCGTAATACGCCAAAAACTCGTAGCAATAATCTAATTCATTATTTGATTCAACATAGGTTTAGTACAATAATGATTAGTATTTTATATATTTTAAGGTAGGTATTTTAGCCTCAGTTGTCTGCATATGCAAAGTAGATAGTTGACATTGTCACCCTGCAATTTCCAGCTTAGATAGTTGACATCCAGAATTTAATTTTAGATTGAATTAAATATTTATCTTTTGCTATTATACTCATTGCACTTTTTGTCTCCACAAAGGTTTAGTTCACTTTAGTAGTATATAATTAGAGGCGGAGCTAGAATTTCTTATGTCAAATACAGATACTTTTGACCTAAGCTACTGATGATCGAACCCCTATTTTGGTCTTTAGCTTTGCCCCTGAGTATATCACGAGCAATATTATATGTAATTAGGTAAGTATTACTCTCTCTGTCTTAATTTATTTAATGATATTTGATTTTTCACGGAAATCTCAACCTATTTGATGGTACCTCGGTTTTGAGGTACCGGGTTGATCTGAACCAAAAATTTTATATATATATATATATGTTAAAAATCCATTAAAATTGTAATAAATAGTAAATATGAATTCGCAACTTTAAAAACATAATAAGTTTAATGTTAAGAATTTTAAAAGTTAAACCAATATAAATTAAATCTTGAATCCATCCCCAAAAACCACGGACAGACCTATTAAAGGAGTAGCATATAAGTAATGCTAGAAAAATCTTGCTTATTCTATTGTCAAATTAAAATGTTTGACAAAGCAAACCGAATTTCAAAGTGAATATTCATTTGGCATCTGTTCGATTCCTCCTTCCTATTATTTTCTTTCTGTAAACTGGACACATATGTAGATGAAGGTCGAGATCGAACCGAGAAGACTTCCAATTCTAATGGTAAAAGTAAAAAGCTTTTTAACTACTTTAACTATTGTCTCTTTTTTTTTTAACTGTATAACATCCGAAATCCACTGTCCTACTAATCTAGATTTGTAACGTATATGACCCATTTAAGGAAGAAACTCATAGCATATTCAATACATGTTTGCAACTGGTGAAATTCATATTCCCTTTATGTGAAAAATCAACCTCTCTTTTCTCTTTGACTAGTAGATTTCTGATGACTAATAGATAATTTGGAAAGATACATATTGTTATATCTAACTTAAAACACTCAGATAATTACAGCCGTTAGTTAAATAAATAAAAATAATACACTAATTATGTATACAATATATATATATGTATATTGGACATTAATAGACAAAAGTACACATTTGTCGGCTTTTAGGGGCGACTATAGTGTGTTTCCATATTTGTCGTTACTCTACGACTATTTTATCACTTGGAAAACTGATACTATTTTATCTGTAGAGCAGTTAGATGTTGGTTTATTTTGTTAGAAACTTGCTTTAGTTAAATATATGGCGGAAACAAAGAAATTAGGTATAGTGGGACTGACACCCTCACCTGGGCAGGTGGGGTGCCTGTCATTAAGTCATTTACATAAATCATAGAGTTTACATTGTGTATATACATAACTTTTTTATTAAAAAAAAAAAAATTAGTGTACCTAGGGGGAGGGGAAAAGGAAACAGGAAGGGAATTGCAAGGTAGAGAATCAAACTCTTGCCGACAAGATTAAAGTTCAGGTAGCCAACGAAGCTAACATTCCACATCAATATATGTAACTTATCTCCCTTATAGCTACTAATTTCTAGCACAGTAGTTGCCCCCAACGTGCTAGGCAACTCGCACGTTAAAAATAGAATCAAACGAGAGCATTACAATGGAGCCCCAACAACAATTTATTCCAAACTCTAGCTCCTGCTCTAATCCTGTATATGCACATCATGTCATTCTGCATAAAAAAAGATAAATAATGCTAATGATCACTTTCTAATAGTTTAAACTTTTAGATAAAGCAGTTCACAAACAGTTATAATAAGTATAGAAGATGCTTGGGTCCTGAAATATGCCACATTGTCACATTAGGCATTTACACAATAGAGAATCAAGCTGCATGTGAAAGACGTGTTTGCAGACAAATAAATAAGACCCATCTTATTTTTCAGAATTTAAATTTTTGCATTAGAAAGGTCATAGATCTAAACGTATCATTCCCAACTTTCGGGAAGTGGCGGAGCCAAGAATCTATACAAGAGAACTTTAAAATGTCACAGCTAAAATTTGAACCTTAGACCTAAAACAACGCTCCTCAGTTTGAATCTCACTAGCATTATCATTGCAAAGTGATAAAATTTATTCCCCTTGATTAAAGGAGAAAAGCACATTTGTATTAAATTAAGGACTGCGTAGGTTACACAAAAATGCAGTGAAGCTTCCACTGCCCCTTAGGCATCTCTATGGTTTCTTATCTTTATACAACTAAATCATAAATACAATGTATGTTCCCTCCAAATGATGACAAAATTACATTTACATCACCCTAGTCCCAGAGTGTAACTATTTAAAGCTTCGGCATGAATACAAAAACTGAAGCAATATGGAAAGAACAGAAAAGAAAAGGCAGGATTCAAAAGCTGTACATCGCGTAGCTATCACTAGGCAGCTACTTATTAGTCTTTTGTTACATGTTGAGCTGCCTCGACGTACTGCTCTGCAAGTTTCTTAATTTTCTCGCCTTCCTTGATGAGAAAATTAGCATTTTTGTCCTTTGGGTGATACTTCATGACTTTCTCAGTAGTTTTGCCAACAGCCCATCTGTATTGTTCAACAGAGATCACTCCGCTCTTGCAAAGTGGCCTGATGTGCTCCTTCACATATGCTTCAACCTGCTAGAGGATAATTTAGTTAGTACCCGAAAGATAAGAGTCCAGGAGAAATCTTCAAACATGCTACATGAATCTTTAGTATTTAGACTTTCAACTCCACTTGGAATATTCCTCTTAATTGTTGGTCAGATAGGGAACCCTGATAAACATGAAAGCAAGTGTTCATTCAGTACCTTCGTTGCTACAGAGTTATTGCTGCCTGATTCCTTTTCAGCACGGGATTTTGATATCTTGTTAATTTGGAGATTTTCATTTCTTGCTAACTGGCTAGGTGAGTTTGGGCATTTGGAAGCAGTAGAGCTGCTGTCATTTGCCTGCTCCGAGGACTTTAAAGCCTGTTTGGATTCATCAACTCCATTGCTTTGTTGAACTTCATTGTTCATAGCCAGTTCATTAAGCTTGAGTGATGCCATCTCAGGGTACTTCTCAATCAGCGGCTCTTTATCAGGTCCGTACAACTCTTCAGAGTCTACACCGGAGAGCTCTTCATCGACAGGGGAACTATGACTAAGGCAATTTTCAGTCTTGCCAGCTGCAGTTGAGCTTCCAACTCTACCACTAGTTTCGCACCCAATCAACGAAGATGAGCCTACAGGACCTTCAAGAACGTCCTGTTTTTCATGATTTTCAAGTTCCATAGAGCCATCATATCCCACAGGGTTGATTGTGGAGAAGACAACTTTCATTTTAGATTCTCCTGGCTGCAGCGCAGAGATCATTGAAGTGCCAGCACCAGAAAAGTCATCATCCTCCAAATTATATTCAAAATCCCCATATATATCAAGTTCTGGAGGAGCATCTACTTCAAACACATTCTCGGGCCCGTGATCTTCAACTTCTTTTGATACGCAAATTTCCTCTTTGTCTTCCTCCAGTGGGCAATTTGGACTATTTGGAGGTGAATCAGACAAAAGTCCTGCATTTCTTAGCGCTTCATTGACTGCTGGATCAGAAGAATGGACCTCGCTTAATTCTTCGGATGAGTTAGTTAGAACTTCTGAAGTTTGGCAGGGATTTGACTCTGCCACACCAACATTACTGGCATTATCTGATCTACGCAGCAGCTCTTGTGAGCAGAGGTTTATATATACTAGTTTACTATTAGACCTATCAGCAACCTCCTTTTCAATATTAACAGCGTCTGCAATAGCCAGTTCTGTTTCTGCTGTTCTGCGCATAACTGACAGATTTGCTTTCCTTAAGAAGTGCTCAGTGAGACGGTGAAGTTGAGCCTGTGTGAAAACCAGAGGAAAGTTGATAAATTATATATAACCAAGATAAGTGATTTGCTCAGTCTGTGGTTATAGGAGAACAGAGCAAATCCCCTGAAGTGGAAGCTATGTACCGACTAAAGACAAACAACATTTTACAAGAAAAAAATCCCCTATCTTTCCTCTCTGTTATATTATAGAGAGGAAACGTGTACCATCCATCTCCAGGTTATATGGATCTGTACCCCAATAAAAACATACTAAACTAGGGATTTTGAATAGACTTTTTTGCATCATTCCAATTTTATCGGTTGTCCCGAGGGGACGAGACTTTCAATTGATCCTACTATGACATGTGAAGGATTAACACGCTGTTAGATGCCAATCAACATATTGAATAGATGATGATGGAATTAGTGGTGATAATTTTGATATCCAGGGAGAGTAATCAGAAAGAGTGGTCCCTAGAACAGTCACCGGAAAGAAGAAGAAAAAATAGATAAGATTGTGACTGAGCATACAATGTAAAGACGCTTGTAGATAAGGGGAGGCTACTAGAGCCTCTACCAAAATGATACCAAAAAAATAGAAGAGATCAATTGAAGACTTGATAATGATGAATGGCTCACAAATTTATACATGCTAGGCACATTTTTTCGTGGAACAATATCGAACTTTTACAACACTCTTACTCTAACATTCTAACAGTAATACCAAACATTCTAACACTTTCAATAACACAGGCTATAGAATAGCAAAATTATCACCCCAGGTAACAAGTAAACTTGGAAAGGGCTGGAAATTAGGACAGTGCTTACCATCCTAACGGACATGGGGATTTTATTATGACGACTGGTTGCCAAAGCTGGCCGCATATCTTTAGGTAGCTGAGCCTGCTCAAAAGTTTACAAACAAGAAATGATCCCAGGTGCAGAACAATAGGCAGCAAACAAATGATACAAATGGCAAAAAGAAAAATTTAGCATACTAGCAAAGGATGATTATGTTTCAGCACTGCACTGTCCTCTTCATTTTCCAGGGCGCCACTCTTGCTTGTTGTTGCTGTTTTTCTAGCAAGAACCTCTAGGGCCCACTTCCTCTTATCACTCTTTGTATTATCACATTTTATAGCTGCTTCCTCCTTGATACACAATTTAGAACCACTTGATGTTGATGCAGATGGCCTTTCAGCGCCTTTGATTGAAAGTACATTTCTGGTAGCATCAGCCTTAGTGGTCAGGACACTTATCTTGGCCCCCTTAATTTCCAAGGGAGAAGACACCATCACAGACGCCACATTTACTGGTGGAACTATGTTGAATGGACTAGGAAAAGACGTTGAAGTGTTCGATGTCAATCCATTTTGTTTGTTCTGATCAGCTGCGACAATAGCAAGGGACGAGACAGGCTTGATATCATCCTTTCTTGGAAAAACTGAACTATCTGCTAAATACAGCCTTGATAGAATGGAAGACTTTCCCTCCCCTTCATTCACATGCTTTGTCTCTGCAGTTTTTGAATCATCTCTCAGGAGGTCGAGAACTGACTTCAATGTCTGAATCTTCTCAGGCTTTGACATTTTTGAGCATCTGTGTTTCCAAAATTCTATTTCACAATCGCGAGTCCATGCTCGTCGTCGTCTTCCTCCAATACCATAAATTTTTTTGGTTAGGTTTTCACGTATTTTTCCCTTCTGCAGCAGTGACCTCTTTGCCTTCAGATCCACAGAAAACTTCTTAGTTTCAGTTGTAGATCCTGTCACAACAGCTCTAAAAGCAGTCAAAAGTTTCGGATCAAGCTGGTTTTCCCCTTTATCCCCAGAAGACTTGTTACGAACAGCTTCTCTAATTTCTTTCCTTAGCTTTTCAACTAGCACTGATGAATCCTCATCACCAGTTCTCCGCATGATCTTTTTAACCCTCAAGCGAGCTGCATTTTCTCTTTGTTTAGAGGACATTCCATCCTGGTTGCTATGTGCAAGTTTCTTCAAAGTTTTACGACCTGTTCCTTGAACTATATCCATTATGTCAGTGCCAAGATTTTTATTTTCAAGTTTACATTTCAGTTTGTCATCCTTCAAGATGGTTACTCGAGATTTATCAGAGTTGTCTGAAACAGATCCTGGAGGTTGGTCCTTTGTATTAATTAGCTCACTGCTTCCCTCGATTTTAACTCTCTTCGGATAATAGGCAGACTCAGCCTTGGCTCTAATGCCTCCATCACCAGCATTTCTGCAATCAAATCAGAGTAACTATAAGTAATCCTAAAGAAATGCAAGGACAAACGCAAACCTAATAAAGAATGCCACAGTTGCTGAACATTTGACATTGCCAGGTTTCAGATAGAATTGTTAGAAACCAAAGAAGTTCTATATTTCATATCTAGAAGAGAAGATTACAAGGCCTATTT